CCCAACAGAAACCCCCACCCCCAACAACATTTTATCCACAAAGGTAGTCAAGAAACCTTCTAAAGACCGCCACACCAAGGTGGACGGCCGAGGGCGGCGCATACGTATGCCGGCCTTATGCGCCGCCAGAGTCTTCCAGCTCACCAGAGAATTGGGTCACAAATCTGATGGTGAGACCATTGAGTGGCTCCTGCAACAAGCTGAACCGGCAATTATAGCTGCCACTGGAACCGGTACAATTCCGGCTAATTTCTCGACTCTCAACGTCTCTCTCCGTAGCAGTGGGACCACAATTTCAGCTCCGCCGTCAAAATCTGCGCCTCTCTTCATCCACGGCGGCGCCACCACTATGCTAGGCTTCCACCACCAGCTATCCAACGCCGGTTTTGGGCAAGACCCAGATGAGAATAACTACATGAAAAAGCGGCTCAGAGAAGACACCAGTGGTGCAACCTCACCTTCAGGTGATAAACCGGAAAGAACCGGAGTACAACCTCCCGAACCAGGATCAGATTCTAAACCCGGTTCATCACAAACTTCGAGTTTCATCCCGGCTCCGGCCATGTGGGCGGTTGCACCAGCTGCTGGTAACGTTGGTAACGCATTCTGGATGTTACCGGTGAGTGGAGGTACCAGTTCAACGACGGCTTCGGTCGGGGTGGCTCAACCGGACCACCAATTGTGGCGTTCAAGAATTGGTGGGTTCGAGTTCCCGGGTGGTGGCCGGTTCAGTCCGGTTCAGTTGGGTTCAATGGTTTTGCAGCAGTCACAGCCGGTTCAGCAGCTGGGGCTAGGAGTTACAGAGACAAATATGGGAATGCTGTCATCAATGAATAATGCATATAATAGCAGTGGTAATAATAGGGTTGATTTGGGTATGAATTTGGAGCAACATCATCACCATCAAAATCAGACTCAAGGTAGTGATAGTGGTGATGAAAATCACAAAGATTCTCAATCATAGTTTACAATTCTCTATGCAACCACTCCGAGGGTGTATTAGGAAACATCTTCTCTATCTTTACAAGGCACGAGGAAATCGTCTTTGTATCTTCACAGGATAGGAGTAAAGTCGGTAAATACACGATCCTTTTCGGATCCTACTTGTAGGATTACACTGTGATCGTTGTTGTTGTTGTTGATGTAAATTTAATGACTTCTTTGATTGTTTTTTCTTGGTGTAATTAGGGAGAAGATTGTGTTCATTGTAATTTTCTTTTTTTTACTCTTTGCTTTACAATTGTTCTATTGTTCTTAATTGGATTTAAGGATTTTCCCCCTTTATTTTTGGTTGGTTGATCCAATTTATCATCACATTTTGATATATGTCTTTTGGCATTTAGAGAGGAAATATGAAGAGTGGAATTTATTCATTTTGGTGACAACCAACAATGGTTCTCGTATTTCTATATCTCTTATAGTGCTGTTACTTTGTTTTTATGGTATTTATGTTATGTTATGGATTTTATGGTATTTTATGTTGTTTTATTATGAGTCTATTGATAGTACTAATATAGTGTTTCTTGTTGTCTCTTTGAGCCGAGGGTCTCCTGGAAACAGCCTCTTTGCCCCTCGGGTAGAGGTAAGGTCTGCGTACATATTACCCTCCCCATACTCCACTTGTGGAATTACACTGGGTTGTTGTTGTTGTGGTGACAACCAACAATGGTAACACAAAGGGAAATGCCTACACATGTTCCTCTAAGTCTTCTCTTCAAAAGCCCTACTCGACTTGTCTTTCAAATTATACATTAATTAAGAACGCATCCTTTTTTACTTTTTAAAAAAGTTTGGCAAACTAAGTTTGGATATTTTTAAAAAAATCTCTGTTTTTACCGGCCATAGATTATTCTTATGAACTTATTGTTAAATCTAATATTTTATACTCCCTCCGTTTCAATTTATGTGAACCTATTTCCTTTTTAGTTCGTGCCAAAAAGAATGACCTCTTTCCCTATTTGGAAATAATTTACCTTTATGCAATGATTTATAGCCGCACAAAATATATGTGCTTCATTTTACACCATAAGTTCAAAAGTCTTCTCTCTTTCCTTAAACTCCGTGCCCAGTCAAATGAGTTCACATAAATTGAAACGGAAGGAGTATTAGTTAAGGGCATTTCGGTAAACTACATGATTATTGTATGACAATATATTCAAACCAAATAATAAATATGTTATTGAACTACTAAAAATAGTACGATCTATCCAAGTATTATATTCATAAAATAATACAATATAATACAATACAATACAAAACCATACATTTGGGCATTTCGATAAACTTATTGATTATTGTGTGATACAATACAATCAAACCAAATAATAAATATGTTACTAAACTATTACAAACAATACAATCTAACATTGCATCACAAAATAATACAATAATACAATGCAAAACTATATATTATGAAACGATGAATAACAACCATCCAAACAGGCCGTAAAATCAAGATTATTTGAACTAAGAATAAATCAACGTTAATTTTCAAGAATATTTTCGCAAACACTAACCCAAACCTTTTCCGAAATCACCAAGAATTATAATTCAGTAATATCAAATATGTTCCAAAGTTATTTTCTTAAACTTAATCAAAGAACACTTTTTGCCACAATAATTTTTTAAAATCTACCTAGTTTATGAAAAACCATATGAAATTCAAATGCCACCTAGATTTCAGTGGTTCCCATCAAATTGTTGACTTTGTCTTCTGAGTCTGGATTTAAATACAACTGCGTAACTCTTCTTTTTATCTGACTGATTCCCCTTTCCTTTTCCGTCCTGATAAAGTAGTAGTACTAGTACATCATACATCATAATAGGAAAAAATCAGTCCCATTGAACTGGAAATATAGGTTTTTAAAATATTCATAAAAGTACTTATTTTAATATAATGTATAAATATTTCTTAAACTTTTTTACAGTTCTCTTTTAACGTATTATTTCAAGCTTGGAGTTAAGAATTTGTTAAGTTGCGTGCTTTCTTATATTTTGATGATCTAACAAACTTCATAATAAGAACTAAATTGAGAACCAGTTACACATCCTCAACGTGCTCAAGAACAACAAGTCTCAACAGAGGTAGATCTAGGATTTGATGGTTACGGATGCCACTGTCTTTAATGTAAACTTACCTCTAGTCAAGGAGGTCGAAATAGGGTGTACATTTGGCTAGTTCACTCAATTTTAAATTAACTCAGATTCGATTCGGTTCATTCCATTTTTCAATTAATTCGGTTCACTTCATAAGATTTTTGGTGCATAAATACATATGTGATAACCAAACTAAAAATGTTTGGTCTTTGAAGGAAAAAAATAACATTAACCAGATCAAAAGAAAAATGATTAAAACATATTGAAATTTCAAAATTCGAGATATAGAAATGGAAAATAGAAATAAATATACTTTTATAATTTAAATAACTAATAAAAATGAAATTTTGTAAAGAGAGAATACAAAGATAAAAATAAGAAATTAAGAGAAAGAGAAGAAAAGGAAAATATGGAAAAAGAGGGAACAAGAAAAAGAAAAATAGGCTTTGCTGAAAACAACGTGGTGGGAGGACATTCGACCCTGGGTCTCAGGCTTGGCAGCAAGCACTTGGACCGTAGAACCTACCATAACTTTGTTACACCTTCTGTATATGAAATATCAGTGGAATATCAATACTAATATGAAATTCTACCGGAGCGACCGGGTAGCGTACCACCCCCTTCCATCTTCATAGATCCTCCCCTGAGTCTCAAGTCTGGCACAAGTTCCAATGAATTGAGTCAAAGAAACGACAGAGGGAACAGATGACCATCAATTCCTATGACAAGTCAACTCTCTACAGTTGTAAAATCACTGCATTGTTTCTCTGCGCACACAACTGTATAACAATCACTGGATGAAGCATGTTTTGTACCAGATAATTGCATACATCATCCCAATAACCACACTTGTATATTACCAACATGAGGCAAGGAAAAAAACACACACTTGCAAACCCTAAATCATCAATTCTCTCTCAAGTGTGCTACCGATTTTCAAGTGATTGAAGAACAAAGTAACAGCAGAACCAAGGACCAGATCTCAGCACTAAGTCTATCATATGTCCTTAATATTGTTGTATCTTTGTTAGTATTATCTATATGTAACTCATCGGCTTACTTAGAAGCATTTTGTAAGAGATCGTTTGTAAAACCATAAACCTTGTGTTTGTGTTTTGGTTAGAGTTAGTGAAAGTATGTGCTTTATATAGAGTTATTACAATGAGATTTGATAGAGAACCAGGTTCTCTATACACAAATGTTCTAATTGATGTTTATCATAATCTCATTAATGATAAAAATGTGCTAACTGTAGAACTAGAAGAGGTAGAACATGAGAGAGATGATCTAGTAGTCATAGTGGTTGTTTTAAAAGAAACCATTAAGGATTTAAAGAAAGAAAAAGATGGTCCAACTGAAAAAATTGAAAATGTAGAGCATGAGAGAGATGACTTGTTTTTGGCAGCTGTGTATCTAAAAGAAATAATTGAGGAATTAAAAAGGGCAAACAGTTTTGGGAATACCCAAAAAGGAAAGGAAGTTGCAAGTGAGGCACACCTTAGGCTTGAAAATAAGCTCAAAATGGTGAAATCTAGCATGTGTGCTGAACCTGAAAGAAACAGACAACTTCATGAAGACCTAGGCAAAGTTAAAAATAACCTAAAAAAATATCTAAAGTGGAACTGGTCCTCTGATACAATCACTGCCAAGTATTAAAGCAACAGGGGGAACATATAGGGAATCGGGTTCCAAAAGGAAAAGACTCCCTACAATCTGTATAGCAAATATGTTACTATCCCTGATAACTGGATTTGCACTCATTGTGGTAACATTGGGCACTTTAAAGAAACTTATAAGGCTAGATTCTAGTCCCAACGGAAAAATAAAGTTTTTTTAAAAAGGTAACTACTGTTAAAGAACCTGGTCCCTCCAATAAAAAAAACGTATAATGCCTGCCTAGACAAAAGAAGTTTAATTCACCATTTTCCTCACTACAAGGAACCCTTGGGTTTCTATGTCTAATCCTTGATATTCTTGTGCAGAGAGCAGTGAATGGAAGCAGTCAAAATTGTATATGGATAGTGGCTGCTCTAAGCATATGACTGAAAGCATCGATGATTTCCTTTCACTCAAAGCCCTGCAAGGAGGGAATGTGTCCCTTGGCAATGGAAAAAGGGATACATTATGGGAGTAGAAAAAGTTGGAAAGACACTCACTCATCAATTGAGAATGTGTACTATGTAAATGGCTTGAAATATAGCCTACTGAGTGTCTCAAATTTGTGACAAAGGAAACAGAGTTGAATTCTTGTCAAAGATTTGCACAAAAATATCTATGTTGCTGATTTTGAATATTTGCACAAATGGGGATCTTACATATTTTAGTGTTGTTGATGATGATGTTGAGCTATGACATAGAAGATTGGGACATTCAAGCTTTTTGTTGCTGAACAAGTTTGTCAAGAAGGACCTGGTTTGTGGGCTGCCCAAGTCAAGGTTCAAAGATTACAAGGTGTGTGATGCATGTGTAAGAGGAAAGCAAGTCAGGTCCTCCTTCAAGCCCAAAAATGAAGTAAACACCTCAAGGCCACTTGATCTCATTCATATAGATCTGTGTGGACTTATGAGGGTGTCAATTAAAGGAGGAAAGAAGTACATTTTCGTCATAGTTGAGGATTACTCCAGATTCACATAGACCTTATTTCTCAGAACCAAGGATGAAACTTTTCCAGTTTTTGCTGCATTTGTGAAGTAGATTCAAGTGAAGATAATCCATAATGTTGTGAGTATAAGATATGATCATGGAACAGAGTTCGATAATGCAAAATTTGACAAATTCTATGCTGAAAATGGTATAAGTCACAATTTTTTAGCTCCTAGAACTCCCTAACAAAATGGTATTGTGGAGAAAAAAATAGAACTCTTGAAGACATGGAAAAGACTATGATAATTGACAATGGCATAGCAAAAGGTTTTTGGGCGGAGGCAGTCGACACTACCTGCTATTTGGTAAACATGTGCATGATCAGGTCCCTGATGTGTGGCTATAATTCCATAGTTTCATACATTATGTGCCTTGTATTTTACATGCTTTAGTGATAAATTACACTTTATTTGTGCGTAATGGAATCTATTTTATGTGTAGGTGAATTGGAGATGAAAGTAAAGCAAAAAGGATACTTAAACGTTGAAACTGTGCTCGAGAACAGTGCAAAGAAGAAAGCTCGCGAAGCCAGGCCTAAAGCAGGCATTAGCCTGGCGACGCCAGG